AAAGAGTGTGATAGATCAGAATTGCATTTATGGAGAAACAGCCAGAAACTATGCTTAATTGGTGACCGGGGGTCAGGGGGTGGTAGTGAGAAGAGAAAATAATCGGAAAAGATAAACCAGAGCTCTTGACAATGGGTTGCCTAGAAAGAAGGAACTTTCAGTTTTTATATGACTATATTCCAATTAACAAGTTAGATTTTATACTTTTAAAAAAGAAAGAGCAAGACAAAAGTAAACTGATAGAAAATTAAAGACTGGAAGAAAATATGTATAACGTATAACATGCAAAGGATTAATACATACAATACATAAAGAATGCCTACAAGTGAATAAGTAAACGACAAGATTCCTGGCCATCCTATTTAAAATCGAGTCCTACCCCCATGGCTGTCCCTAGCTCCTTTCCCTTCTTTTTAATCCCATAAAATATACTACATATTTTCTCAATTCCTTTTGCTTGGGTCTTTCTTCTACAACTAGACTATCACCTCATTGAGGGCAGGGATGTCTATTTATTTAACTTGCCACAGAATCCCTAGCACCTAGAATAATGCTTGGCACACAGTAGGCATTCTAGTACATATTTGCTGAATGAATTAATAATGAATTTTTCAACAGAAAATTGGACAGGAGATTTGAACAGGCAATTCACAGAAAAACAAATGACCATTAGCATAGAAAAGATGTTCAACTTGCCTTGTAAACAGGAAAATACAAATTAAACAACTATGAGATATCATTTTTTGCCCATCAGATGGCCCAACCCATGTAGATATTTGATAACATCAAGTGTTTTGGAGGCTGTGAGGACACAGACACTCTCCCATAGCTGACAGGAACATAAACTGGTATAATTATTTTTGGAGTAGCAGCTATTAATATTAAAAATTCAGGGCTTCCCTGGTGGCGCAGTGGTTGAGAGTCCGCCTGCCGATGCAGGGGAAACGGGTTCGTGCCCCGGTCTGGGAAGATCCCACGTGCCGCGGAGTGGCTGCGCCCGTGAGCCATGGCCGCTGAGCCTGTGCGTCCGGAGCCTGTGCTCCGCGATGGGAGAGGCCACAAGAGTGAGATGCCCGCGTACTACAAAAAAAAAAAAAAAAAAAAAAAAAAAAAAAAAAAAAATTCATATTCCCTATGACCTAATAAATCCACTTCTCAGTATGGACCCCAGATGAAATGCTGTGCATGCAGGAGATATGCACAAAAATGTTTACTAACACGAACAGAATAATGAACAATTAGTTTCATCCATTAGGCTTATGAGTAATACATGTCCAGGCTATGAAAGACAACAAGAGTTAAAAAAACAGTATGGTAGAGATCTATGAACTTCACCAGGAAGATCTAAGACATACTATTAAAAAAGAAAAGCAATTCGTAAAAAAAAATATGGATAGCATATTAATGCTGACATTTTAATGCTGAATGTTTCGATCCATTCATTTATACTCATGTAAATGCAATAGGTAAAGGTGTGGAAGGATGCGCTCCAGACTGACCACAGCATGATCACTTCTAGGGATGCAGGAGAGCAAGGCTGAGAAGGTGATCAAAGAGGAATTTAACTTCATCCACCAAGTTATAGGCAGAAGAGCTGCCTGGAAACTTGTGGAATTTAACATTGGTTTTGAAAATTATACATAAGAAAAGAAAAACGGATGTTGAGCTAAGAGTTAGAAGGTGGGTTCCTGTCTTGCCACCCCCCAGCTGAGAAATCCTGGGCAAATCATGTAATCCTTCTGCGCCTCTGCTCCTTCCTCTGCAAATTGGGCGGAAGGGGGGTTATGACAAGTGACAACTCACTGAGACCCCACCCTTCCATAGAGTTCTACAAAATTTCAGTAGGATCTCCAGTCAAATGCCCAGAACCAAAGGCTCCAGGGCAACAGACAATCACACATGGCCTAGAGCTGCACTGTCCAATATAGCAAAAGCAATACAAAAATTTAATTGACAGGTCAGTTTCTCAGTCACACGAGCCACACCTTTCAAGCGCTCAGTAGCCACAAATGGCTGGTGCCATAATGAACGGCACAGATACAGGACGTTTCCACCATTGAGAAAAGTTCTTTCAGACAATGCTGGTCCAGAAAGATGGTGTTCTCTTGTGCCCCTCTAAACACTGGACCAAGAGGCGAGCTAAGGGTGGAGCAGAGCCAGATGGCAGCCTTCTTCATAACCTGCCTGGCTGACACCTACAACATTTACATAAGCGTCTGATACACACCCGAGAGGCACCCTGGGGCAAAGGTGGAAGTGAAGTCAGCCTCACCTTTCTCCCCCACGCAAACTGAACAGGTACTGTTCTTGACAAAAATCAAAGGAGGAAGGGCAGCTTTGAGGACGGATTCTGTTTTTGTTGTTCTTGCTTTGCATTTGGACCCAAGATCAGTATCTTTCCTCACCTCCTGTCCTGGATTTATCAGGAGGTGGTAAACACAGTATCACTCAGAATCAAGGAGGAGGGTAGGTAGGCTAGAGAGTGACCCTAATGGTCTGAGGTTCCTTCCTCCTCCCCGGGATCTAAGAGCAGAAATTGCAGGCTGCATGTACTCAGGGTAAACAGCCAGAGAACACCTGGGGATAAAATCTGTCACATCCCAAAGGAGTCCAGCCACCTCTAGTCCCCTCCCCTGACGGCACACTAGTCCAAGCCACTACTGCCTCTCCCTGGAGTGACCACCACTGCTCCCTAACTGACCTCTTGCTGGTCTTTAACAGAATAGCCCTCTGATCTTTAAAAAATGCAAAGCAGTCCCAGACGTTCCCCTGCTTACCACCCTCCAAAGACTTCCTGTGGCCGGAGGATAAAATCCAAACTTGGTACCATGGTCTATGAGGCTTCCAACAGCCCAGCCTCTGTCTTACAGTCCGTCCACCCCAACAGGCTCCTGCCAGCACCAGCCATCCTTCTGTTCCCTGAGCACACCAAGCTCTCTCCGACCTCAGGGCCTTTGCACAGCCATCTTCTCTGCTGGCATACTCTTCCACTGGTACATTTAGCTCTCAGATCTTCAGGTCTTTCCCAAACCACGTTAGTTACATACACCCAGTGCCGGAGCCAGCTACTTCAGCCTTGCAGTTGGTTAAATTTTCAGGAATTTTAAGAGCCATTAGACATTACTTTGATAGCCTGAAATTAGCCACGATGAGAATACTTACACCACAAAAATTGGCAAATGCTACAAATCGGGGCTCTTTTTTTTTCTAGAGAAGTAGATGTTAAACATTCACTAACACACCACAGGAATAGTTACTTCGTTACCATCTGAAATTTTCTTGTTAGTTGTTAATTTGCTTAGTATCTCTCTTTTCCACTTGAACAGGAAGTCCATGGTAGGAGGAAGCGTGTTTGTTTCGTTCAGTGTGAACAATAAGCACGTGGAATCAACGGTCACCATCAACAACTGGGCAGCAGCTAAGTGTACACTGTCCCCAGGCCAAGCACCACACTCAACGTTTTACATGTATCACAACAATTCTAGGTAGGAGGGGCCCATTTTACAGATGAGAAAACTGAGGCTGGCAAAGTCCTGGCAACTTGCCCCAGTGGACACTGTTAGTACAGGGCAGGGCCAGGATGCGGCCTCTGGGCCTTCAGGCTCTATCTAAGTCCGTTCCCAGCGTGCTGTCTCTGCCCTTGGCATCTGATAGATTCACAGCTGCTCTCTGATCTACAACTACTGCTCAGAAAGTGCAGATTAGGTTCTCAAAGGACACGAGCAAGTGCGAAATTATAAGATCAAGAGTGCTCTTCCTGC